CGCTTCCGCTGCTTCCGCTCGTGCGTATGTGGGGTAAAGCAGCGGAGCTGCATTACTCTCCATTCAGAGAGTACACCATATTCAGCATCACTACATTGGGGCACAAGGACAGCAGCTTCATCGGAGAGATGGAGGGAGGCTAGGCCCTCTTTGATCAACGACAGACTTGCAACAGAGCATATCAAGGTACAGCTGTGTTCGGAGTGCAAGGCAAAGGTGGCGGTGGTCAAGTGCAAAGATTGTTTGCCAAAGCAGTATACCTGCATCGACTGTGACTGTGCAATACACCGTACACAAACATTCCACAACAGAAGCACCATGATTTTAGGGTTCCACACCACAGTGGTTAAACAGGACTCTGTTGGTCAATACTTTCACCATCATGAAGGTACCATTTTATTATAATAGTAATAATAATAATAATTACATCCTTAGTAGTCATCATAAATGTCTTTCTTAGGATAGACACACAAGTCATTGTCAGACTTCCATTTTAATTTGTTAAAGGGTTAGTTCAGCCAAAAATGAAAATTCTGTCATTAATTACTCACCCTCATGTCGTTCCACACCCGCAAGACCTTCGTTCATCTTCAGAACACTAATTACCGTATTGACCCGAATATAAGACTATGTTATTTTCTTGGATATACATCTGAAAAAACACGGTCGTCTTATATTCAGGGTCTATGTCAGGGGTAGGCAAGTTCGGTCCTAGAGAGCTCGCAGTCCTGCAGAGTTCAGCTCCAACCCTAATCAAACACACCTGAACAAGCTAATCAATGTCTTCAGGATTACTAAGGCTATAGGCAGGTGAGTTTTATTTTAAGGGTTGGAGCTGAACTCTGCAGGACTGTGGCTCTCTAGGACCGAACTTGCCTATCTTCTAAAGTGGCAGGAAAGTGTTTGAATTAGTTGATTTTCAGGCATTTCTCACAAAATGTCATCTCATCTTCATTTAAGGCACAATTATACACCAACACATTATCAAATTATTGAATTATTCTACATATTTATAATACTTTTCAAATATTCAGAGCATAGTTAGCTGCAAAAGCGAATTACATTTGGAATTGGACAGACTGATCAAATAGATGTGCTGTGGAATGGCCTCTAGAGAGCTCTTCACACCATATTTCCTAGAATATAGCTGAGATGAAGCTGTTCTATAAGGAGGAGTGGTCCAAAGTCCTTCCTGAATGTTGCAGATCTAATCCACTGGAAACACCCGATTTATTATTTCTGCTAAAGGAGGACCAACGCCTTTCCTTTGCACTTACAGTACACTAATTGGACATTCAATGTGATTGTATTTCAAGACATGAAAGATTATAATTTATTTTGTGGCAATAGCTTAAGCACATTGTCTTTACAGACACACTGGTATGTTATATATTTAGGAGAGAACTAATTATTTAAGTATTACAACTGTATATATATATATATATATACAGGGTGCGATTTGCAGAATCAATAAAATGATTCGCGATACGCGCTTTGAAGTCCCGATCTGAATCAAATGATTCGCCATACGCAATCCAGTTGGAGCGTTTCGAAACAGTGAATCGTTTTGCGAGCGAATGGTTTAACTGATTCGGAGTTTCAAAAAGCTCCGTTGATG